GGGGGGGGGGGAGGGGGGGGCCGTGGGGGGGGGGGGGGGGGGGGGGGGAAGCATCCATCTCATGGGTTCTGTCCAGCAGTCTGGAGGCAGCTCGGTCAGGAGAAGGTGTCCCGTCCCAGGGAGGAGCTGGCTGTGAGGATGGAGTCTTCCGGCAGGGATCCCATTCGCCGGCGAGCCAGTCTGGGGCAGACGATGCGACACAGCTCGCTTGAGATGCTGCTGCTAAAAGTCGCGTAGACCCAGGGATTCGTGCAGCTGTTGAGGCTGGCGACAAGCATCAGGAGGGTGAATGCTGGGCCTGGATGGGGTGCGGAAAAAAGGCGTGAGACCAAGTGAGGCTGGAGGCCTGACACAACATGGCAGTCATCAGAGCTCGTTCCTGGAGCATGCTGAGCAATAACCAATAATAGAGGTACGGCCACTTCTGAGTAAGTCTGGGTGAGAAATTTGTCTGTGTCACATTTTAATGCTGGATTATCTCATTTGCATCTCCAAGAAGCAACTGTGGGCCTAAAAGCCATTTGCTGTTGGAAATCTGTGCATTTCTGAGTTTGTGATACATTTTGCTGAACAAAAAACCTATGTTTGACAACAGTCACACATTTGGAAAATCCTGCCAGGAAGAGTATGTTCACTTCTAAATGCTTTAGACATGCTTTAGCCAATGGATGTGTACATGGATATATTTAACAAATGCCACAAAAATGCATGCCTTTTGAAACATGCACACAAACTACATGAGAATTTTTGTGCAAAAGTAGGAGCTTCAAACCAGAGGCAGAATGGATTGGAGGAAGTATCAGGTATATCAGCCATTTAGGAAGGCATTTACTTAGGGATTTTGTTATATTAAACAGTATAGAAGCATCACAAATAGTAAAATCCATGTAGGCAGTCCAGAACCCGGAACTCTGGAACTTCTTGCACATGGATAACCATTGCCACAGCTATGAGAACTAGGAGGGCTACCCCAATTCAGCCAATTCTGACTGGGATCTCAAAGTGCCAGGAGAAGGTCTTTGAGGATAAGTCAGTGCTTGCATTTTGGGAGCTGATCACAGAGAGTGCTTAGCAGCCTACCAAGTGGGCAGCAGGACTCACTTTGCAGGGCAGGGACAGCATTTTGGTCCTCATCCCATATGGCCCCGTTCCCCAAAGAATGCCATATGAGAGCTTCTGCAAATTTGGATTAGGCCCAGAGGCCTTTGAGGCCCCTGGTGCAAGACGTCAGGCGTACAAGATTTGTGGGACGCCACACTGTGCATACATGAGGCGTGTTGGGGAGCAGGTCCTGCTTGACTCACCCTCTGTGGGGGCCTGGGGGTCCCAGACGGCCCATAGCTGCACGAGGAAGAAGGGAGCCCAGCAGAACGCATAAGTGAGCACAATGACGAGCGTCATCTTGAGCGTCTTGGCCACGGCACCCGAGATCAGGGAAGCCCCTCTCCGGCCCTTCCTGCCCCCCAGAGCCCTCTCAGGCCCAAGCTGCAGGCTGCGGTGGACCTCCTGGAAAATCATGCCCTGGCAGGTGGCGATGAAGAACGTGGGCAGGATGAAAACCATCAGGGTCACCCAGGTGACGTACGCGCGGGCCCCCCAGGGCTCGGCAAAGGTAGCCCAGCACTCATGGGCCCCACTGGGCAGCTCCGTCTTGGAGAAGATGAAGAGCTGGGGCAGGCTGAAGAGGAAGGAGGCGGTCCAGGCCACCACCACCGGGCAGTGCTGGGTGGCAGGGCCCCTCCGGAAAGCCAGCATGGGCCGGCAAATGGCACGGTAGCGGTCGTATGTCATGGCTACGATGACATAGGAGGAGGCGAACATGCCGACCACCTGCAAGTATTTGATGGCGCGGCACAGCACGTCTGGGCCCTGGAAGCGGTCGGTGATGTCCCAGATGAGCTGTGGCAGCACCTGGAAGAGAGCCACAGTCAGGTCGGCCAGGCAGAGGTGGCGGATGAAGTGGTGCATGGGCGTGGCCTGGTGGCCGCGGCGGAAGAGGGCTCCCAGCACCAGCCCATTGCTCAGGGAGGCTAACAGGAAGATGGAGGCCAAGATGGCGATTTCGGCTTGGGCCAGAGCATCGTCACGGTCGTCCGATGGAAGGAGTGATGTGTTAGAGGTGGGGCCAGACAGCATGGAAGAGCTGTTGAAGATTTGCTTCTGTGGAAGGCAAGAAAGAGAAAGAGGGAGAGAGAGAGAATGTGAATTACACAGTGTAAGAGTGACAAATATCCTAACCTGACTGCTGTACAGAAAACACAATGTGACAGAGACACATGATGTTGCATCGCCCTGTTAATGGATGTACCACTACAACTCAGTGCTACACAAGGATGGAAGCCAGTGCCATGTCCCAGGCTCTCCAGTGGTACAACTGAGCATGAGTGGCACAAGGGTTTTGTTCGCAGGGTGGTTCAGAGAGAGCTGGGCCTGGATCAGTGAGAGCAGGATTCCAGTCCCTGTTTGCCTGGACTCTCCCTGGAGGATTCCTCTCCCATAATGCTAGAACCTGGAGTCATCCCATGAAGCTGACTGGTGGAGAGTCAAGACAGATAAAAGGAAGTTTTGCATCTCACTGTGACACACAGTGAACTGTGGGACTAGCAGCCACAAGAGGGGGTGGCGACACCGGTTTGGATGGCTCTAAAAGGGGATTAGACACCTGTGTGTCGGATAATGCTGCTACTACTGGGTCTATATGCCACCTCCAGTATCAGGACAACATATCTCTGAAAACCCGGTTGGGAATGTGCCTTTTTGAGTTCCAGTTACAGCAGGGAGAGCAGCTTGAGCTGCAAGCTCTCCTGGGATGCTGCTGGCAGACCAAGGGAAGGCGGGTGACAACCCCCAGTGAGCCTGACCGTCTGTTGGGCATACCATGGATTGTTCTTGCAACAATCAGCCCTCCATGATTCACGGCCAGAGTGAGTTGGTGTGATGTGTGAACTTACCCGACAAGCTGTTAGGTGTCCTATATAAATATAGTTAGTAATTTAGTGACAACACAATCCTAGTTTTTTGTTGGGTTTTTTTGGTGCTGTGCTGTGCTTTGCTTTGTTTTTCCTCCGATTTAAATTTAAGTTTATTATATAAATTTAAGTTTATTTTATCCTTATGTGTGTGCGCAAGTGGGTTTTTGTCTGGGAGAACTGGGCGAGTGAAAGGAACTGCAGGACAGACAAGGCAGGGGACCAAGGTAAGGTCTCGGAAGGGATCCCAATGGCAGACCAGGAGATGGCCTTGGGGGGAGTCACGGGTGTTGCTGTCCACTGCGAGAGCTGCGACATGTTCGCCCTTCTCCCCCAGGAGAGGCAGGGATACACTTGCCCTCGGTGCAAGATGGTGACCCTGCTAGAGGAGGAGGTGAGGTGCCTGAGGGCCGAGAGAGCTCTCCGGGCCCCCACCCCCGGAGCAGCCCCCCTCTGGACAGAGGGTTGAGGGAGGGGCCACGGGAGGAGCAGCTGCGGAGACATGGAGGTATGTCACCCACAGGAGGAGGAGGCCAGCACGGCCTCCTCCTCCTTCTGGCACCGATCTGAAGCTGGGAAACAGGTTCTCTCCACTTGGGGAGGCTGGGGCTGATGAGGCCTCAGGGGAACAGCAGGACCCCCAGCCTGGGACCACAAGCAGCAAGGGGGCCGTTGCAGGAGAGGCGAGGGTCAGGGCATGGCCTCCCACCACCACCAGGAAGACACGGCGGGTGGTGATTGTTGTTGGGGACTCCCTGCTGAGGGGCACTGAGGCGGTGGTGTGCCACCCCAACCTGGAGGCAAGGGAGGTTTGCTGCTTGCCGGGCGCACGCATCCGGCATGTGAAGGACAGAGTGGAGCGTCTTGATCGCTCTGGGGGTCACCAGCCACTCCTGGTGATCCGTGTGGGCGCAAACGACGTGGCCAGGCAGGGTGTGGTTGGGATCACCAGGGACTTCGAGGCCTTGGGGAAGAAACTCTGGGAGCTAAAGGCCCAAGTGGCCTTCTCGTCAATCTTACCAGTCCGGAGATTTGGGCCAGGAAGGGACAGGAGGGCCTCCGAGGTGAACGACTGGCTTAGGGTGTGGTGCCAGAAGGAACGCTTCGGGTTCCTTGACCACGGCACTCGTTTTCTTGCCAATGGACTTCTGGCAAGGAACGGGTTATACCTCATGAGGATGGGGAAAAGGTCCTTTGGAGATGCTCTAGCGAGCTTCGTCCGGAAGACTTTAAACTGAGTGGGGGGGGGGTTCAGGCCCCCCAGAAACATGTCTGCACTGGACAAGTGTGGGGGGAGGATCAGGGCTCTGGGAGCAGGGTTTTAGAGGTACTTCAGGGACTGACAGGACTCCTACAGAGAGGGGCCAGGTATTAGGGAGGATGGGAGGAAGGAGCAGGCTGGGAGCTCCAAGGAAAGAAAGCAGTGGGAAGGAGTTGAGGTGCATGTACACTAATGCTAGGAGCATGGGTAATAAGCAGGAAGAGCTTGAAGCTCTCCTGGGAATAGGAGGGTATGATCTGGTGGGAACCACAGAAACTTGGTGGGATGAAAGGCAAGACTGGAATGTGAACATAGAGGGGTATCACCTTTTTAGAAAGGACAGGAAGGGAAAGAGGGGTGGTGGCGTGGCTTTATACGTCAGGGAAGGGATAGGATGCAGTGAGATAGAATGCAGTACAGATGGGGATTTGGTAGAGGCAGTCTGGGTGAAACTTAGGGGTTTTGACAGGGAAAGAGACCTGACAGTGGGGGTATGTTATCGTCCTCCAGGTCAACTTGAGACCCTGGATGATGGCCTGGCAGACCAGATTCTAAGAATATCTCGGGAGAGAGACACAGTAATTATGGGAGATTTCAGTTTCCTGGATATTAGTTGGGGGACTCACTTGGCGGTGACACCCAGGTCACATTGCTTCCTAGAGGCTATTGAGGAAGGGTTTTTCACACAGAGGGTCCGAGAGGCAACAAGTGGGGGAAACATCCTTGACTTGGTCTTGACCAATAGGGAGGAGCTGATAGATGAAGTACAGATTAGGGGAGCTCGGCATGCAAGTGATCACTCCATCCTTTGCTTTGAGATCAGGGGACTGGGGACGTGCAGCAGGTTGAGCACTAGAAGCTGGGACTTCAAGAGGGCCAACTTTGGCCAACTGAAGGCCAGACTGGGGAAAGTCTCCTGGGATAGGTTACGGGAAGGTAAGCGAGTTGAGGAGGGGTGGATGGCACTCAAAAGGGAGGTTTTGGCAGTGCAAGCCTTGACGATACCTCTAGTCAGTAAGGTGGGGAGGCAGAGGAGAGTGCCACCATGGATGCTAAAGGAGGTGATTAGAGGGATTAGATGAAAGAGGAACCTCCGTAGGAAATGGGTACTGGGGGAAATAGACGAAAGGGTATACTGGGAGGAGGAGGCCTGTTGCAGAAGGATTCTTTGCAAGGCTAAGGCTGATTATGAGCTGAGACTTGCCAAGAATATCAAGAGCAACAAAAAGGGCTTCTTTCAGCATGTAAATAGGAAGAGGAAGGGGAGACAAGTGGTGGGACCACTAAATAAGGAGGAAGGATGGCGGATATTTGCATAGGAGATTAGATGAGCCTGGGGACTTAGGGGCACAGATTAGAGTCACCCCCCCTTGAAGTCGAGGGGCTCCTCAGGGCATTGGACATTACAAAGGTGCCTGGCCCTGATGGGTTACACCCGCGAGTACTTAGAGAGTTGGAAGTGTTCTCTCATGCCCTCTGGCCTCCATTTTTGAGGCCTCATGGAGAATGGGTGAAGTTCCAGAGGACTGGAGGGTGGCATCAGTGGTCCCAATATTCAAAAGGGGTAGTAGAAGGGACATGGGGAATTATAGACCTGTCAGCCTTCGTCCATTGTAGGAAAAACAATGGAAAGGCTCATAATAGAGAGCGATCTAGTGATGCTAGATAGGGAAGGGAGGCTGACAGCCACACAACACGGCTTCCGCAAAAACAGGTCCTGCCAGACAAACCTTGTGGAATTCTATGACAAGGTTTTGAGATGGCTAGATGGAGGGGATGCAGTGGATGTGGTATACCTGGATTTCAGCAAGGCCTTTGACAAAGTGCCCCATGATATCCTGGTGGAGAAACTGAGGAGTTTTGGGATACACCAAAGCACTGTCCGGTGGATTAGGGCATGGTTGACTGACCGAAAGCAGACGGTAACCATTAATGGGGAATCATCGGGATGGCAGCCAGTGACAAGCGGGGTCCCCCAGGGCTCTGTCCTGGGGCCGATCCTGTTTAATCTTTTCATTAACGACATGGAAGAAGGGGTGAACAGTCTGCTGATCAAATTTGCAGACGACACTAAAACTGGAACAGTGGCCACAACTGAGGAGCAGGTACTCCAGAACCAAAAGGATCTGGACAGACTATGGAAGTGGGCAGGAGACAACAGGATGGCGTTCAATGTGGATAAGTGCAAGGTCTTGCACTTGGGGCATAGGAATAGCTGTCATAAGTACAGGTTAGGGGACAAGTGGCTGGAGAGCAGCACTTGTGAAAGGGACCTCGGGGTGCTGGTTGACTGCAGGCTAAACATGAGTCAGCAGTGTGACGCAGTGGTCAAGAGGGCAAATGCCACCCTTGGTTGCATAGCCAGAAGTGTGGCTTCTAGATCAAAAGAGGTATTACTACCACTCTACACGACTCTGGTGCACCTGCAACTGGCAACTGGAGTATTGTGCTCAGTTTTGGGCCCCTCATTACAGAAAGGATATAGCCAGGTTAGAGTCAGTGCAGCGTAGGGCCACAAGGTTGGTGGCCGGTTTGCAGGGGATGGGGTATGAGGTGAGACTGAGGGAACTGGGTCTCTTCAGCCTGGAGAAGAGGAGACTCAGACGGGATATGTTGGCGACATACAGGTATGTGAGGGGATGTCACATGGAGATGGGTAGAGACCTGTTCTCCCCTGCAGAGGAAGGCAGGACAAACTCCGACGGAGCCAATCTCAGGGAGCCAAGTTTCCATTTGGATGCCAGGAAGCACTTCCTGACAGTCAGAACCCCAAGGGTGTGGAATGGGCTTTCACGAGAGGTCGTTGAGGCCCCATCGGTGCGGGTGTTCAAGGATAGGCTGGACGTCCTCATGGTGGGCATGTCGTGAGCAGAGCCGGCTGGTGCCGGAGGTCAGACTAGATGGCCCCTTCTGACTCGCTTTTTTTCTATGTTTCTATGTTTCTAGTTGTATTGGGTTAGAAGGCAGTTCCACTGAACTTACTTCTGAGTAAACAAGCATAGGAGTGTTCAGTATAGATTGACAAGGATGAGTCTCTGGAATTCAGTAATACACATGATGAAAATGAACATCAGGGAATAGGTGTAAAGCAAGTCACAATCTCCTGGCAGATCCCTGGGTGGTTTGCAGTAGATCAGCCAGAGTCCTTTATTTCGAATTTTTTCACAAAAGACCCCCCATCCCCCAAGCTGAAGTGAAGAAAGCTTGCGAATGGAAACAGCAGCCAGGAACAGAGTTTGTATGGAAGGACCAGCAACCCCAAGACAAATCGCTCAGCTCAGAATAATTCTAGGTCTTTTGTACCAGGCTCCTGTTGGTGGACTGTGGGATTCTAGTTGGAAAAAAATGTTGATTTGGCTTGATCCCTGCCCATTCCTGGACAATGCATAATAATGTGCTTGCCAATTAGGCCCTCCAGACCATTATGCCTGCTTCAGCTAGAAGAGGCTCACCAAGGCTGTGCCGCTATTTCCCCCTCATCCTTCTGTTTCACAAATGGCAACTGGAGATGCCAGGCACCCATGGTATTCACAAATCAGATTGCTGTGCCAGTGGCCAATGGCGCTTCCTTTTTTCTACATTTCCCCACAATGACCTGTTTTGCCAGAACTTTTTCTAGATGTACTAGAGGTAGTTTTCACTCATTTGTACCTCAATGTGCCACAAATACTCCAGGAAGTTCAAGGTTGTGACCCATTCAGTCTATGCTACGAATCCTGCTCCCAGGATGGGGCAGGATGAGGCCAGTCAGGTAATGTGCCCCAATCATTCCAGTGTGGCCTGCATGTAACAACCATGGGTGGATTGCATCCTATGTACCAGTTCTATAAGTTTTCCACTATGTCACCCTTTCTTGGTTCTCCCCAAATCCACTGCTTGATAGTGGTTTCACCTTGCTCCATGGTAATATTGGGGTTTTTTGAGGGGGAGGGTTAAACAAACAGGAAAGAAAATCAAGGTTTGGGGCCTCTGCTATGATAGGCTATAATGGAGAGGAAAGACACTGGGGCAGAATTCTCTGCTTCATTCTGACAGCTGCTGGGAGATCTAGAAACCAAAACCAAACCTACTACTGGGATGTTGTTACCTGTCCAAAGAGTTACCTCGTTGTCCATGGTCAATGCATCAGCTGGCCAAGTAGCTTCGGGGTGGAATTGCACCGTGTCTGCCCACCGTTTGCTGTGGAACCCACTGCTGCCGGCGATAAATAGGTCCCTCCTAAGGGCAGCTCCCCTGGGCTCGCTGTCCGGATCGTAGCTGGGTGGCTCTCCAGTGCTCTGAGTGGGAACCTCTTAGAAAGCCAGAAGGAGCTGCAGGGTGGGGGTGGGGGTGCCAAATGTGCTCCCTTGTCCCCACCTCCTGAGCAGCATACCTGACTGAGCTTGATCTGATGCCAAACTCACTGACTTTGCAGTGGCCGGAATTGCGCAAGAGCAAGCATAAAAGTTCAGGAAAGGGAAGTAGTGAGCCAATAGGAGAAGTGTGCCTGGCCAACTTTCTGCTCCCCTTCTGTCAAATATGTGAATCCTAGAACCACGACATTGACCTCGAGCATCCTAATTCTTTGCCTGGCTACTCCATAACAATAAGAAAAATGGTTTGGCTCTTGCATGCTGGTCTGTCTTTCCACTTGCCCCTGGAACCAAGGCATCTCCACGGCAGTCTAGCTTAAATTGTTGACCTGTGAGTTGCATAGGCCTAAAATAACTTTATTACCTTATTTTCAGGCAGAGCGTTTTCAAACAGGAGCATGGCAGGCAGGAGCTCAACAGGTAAAACCTCCCTGCTCAGCAGGGATTGCGGAACTACTGCATTGACTGAATTGTCTGCCCACATTCACCTGTCACAATAAGAGGGGCAAAAAGCAGCAATACTAGCTTGGAGAGAAACCAAAAGTACTGAAATATTAACCCACTCCTCTCCCCACCCCACTCCATACCCACTACCCTAAAGGAATTCAGCTCCTTTTCTTTTTTTCCTCACGTCTCATTTAGCAACACTTTATCAGACAAGGAGATATGGGGCAGAGAGATTTTATCGCCATTCCTGACCTGAAAATCTCACCTCAAGTTACCTGGGAGAGAGATATAAATATCCTCCCCCCACCCCTCAGTACAAATCTGGGGTTCTTAAGGAGCTGTTGTAATTCAACATGTTTTGGCAGTGCTAGTGCCAAAGTGTTGTTTATAACCACATTGTGGGGTGATCAAAAGCAAAAGAGAACTGCTCCTGTGCTTTGAAAAGTTGCGTAAAAGAAAGAATGTCGGCAAACAGAGCTTGTCACCCGACCAATGCCTGCTGAAACTCCCTTTTCCATACAGCTGTTTTAAAGTGCAAGCAATACTGTCCTTTGTCACATTCAGACATCTGCTGAATTTTGAGCTCAGCAGTACATCTATAGGGCAAGGTGAGATGGACAGTCCAGGTGGCAGATTTGGGATTCTCTTAGGGTTGGCAGCAAATGCTTCTGACCTGTGGAGGGAAGGTTATCGTGGCTCTTCTTGCACAAGCCCCAGTGGAACAGGCCAGAACCCGAGCCGGGCCGAGACATGTTGCTGCCTGAGGGGAAGGACCGCATGGCTCCCTCTTGCAACCTTCCTTGCCACAAAGCTAGCTGGACTAGTGGGCAACATGGTATTCCATGCCATGGCTGCAGCAGACCAGTTCGGAGAGCGAGAGACTGGCTGGGTGGCACATGAAGTTCTGCCCTCCAACAGACGGGGATGGCTGGAGAGCTGAGGAGGAACAGGAGCTGCCACCACTTCCACCCCCAAGCATCTGCTGCCTCCAGCGGTTGCTTCACCTCGCCTAAGGGCAGAACTGGCTCCCACCGATCTGTGCAAGAGGGAGGCAGGAGAGGGCTCCGTGTGTAGTGTAAGCTCCATTTTCTTCTCATGCCTCCTCCTCCAGAAAGGCACGGTCTTCTCTGCCTTGCCTTCCTTTCCTCTGCACCAGCGATAGAATAATTACGGTGTATCTTACAGCATTGTGGCTATCAGGGTTACACTATGTGAAGTGCTTAGAACATCGTGAAGCGCTTTGCCATTCATATTTCTGGAAGCGCAGAGTTCAGTATGTTTCAGCCCAGTAAAGTCAATGGACTTAAGACTTGTTTTTGCTGACCAAATCATCATTGCACACAATGGGAACCGGAACCTGGAAGCTGGAAGGCCAAGTCCCTTACAAAGTAAGCTGTCAGGGGAAGTTCTTGAATTGAGACTCATTCTTAATTTATTGGGCCACTCTGGCCAGTCCTTCCTTCCTTATATGGTGTACCTTTTAACCTTTATAAAACCAGCCATCTCCTCAAATCACATCATGCATTTGATGATGCAGGGCAGTGACTTTCCAGCTGTATTGATGGATTTCCTCAGAAACGTATTTGGAAAGCTTGTCTCTTCTGTTGGAAGGTCAAAAACGGCAGACAGTCTCCACTGGGCAACAGTCTGTCCAGCTGCTAACCATCTTCCTTGTATCGTGCAGTCCAAGGTGGGGGCTGATAGGTGCTCTGTCAATCTTAGGCAGACAATGCTGAGGTCCAACAGGACTGGAACATATTGAGTTTCTGTGGCAGGCACTGGCCATTAGCAGCTAGGGCAGGTGGGGCCCTCCTGCTGTTTGTGTATTTATTTACAATAAATATTTATCTGTAATACATGTTCATATATATTGAAACAGATTCTGGAGCAGTGAACAAGAAAAGGGCTTTTAAAAAAAACCTGGAATATTAATGAAATGGAATATCAATAAAACCTGGCTGGTCAGTTGAGAAAAGTTTCTTGGAATATAGAAGTTTTTGGGAGACACCAGAAACAAAACAAGGTTGGCGCCTGCCTGATCTCCAGAGGCAGGGAGTTCTGCAGAAATGGGGCTGCTACACAGAAGGCTCTTCTCTTGATGGACCCTGATTGGGCCAAAGGCCCGTGGGGAACCACCAGAAGAGTGCCATCCATTGACTTCAGTCACCAGGCAGCTTGACACTGGGAGAAGACGCTCTGTCAGGTGTCCTGGTCCTGGCCCTGGTCTTAGGGCTTAAACACTAGCAGCAAAGCCCTCCGTCTGGCCTGTCATGATAGGCAGTTCTCTTAGCAAAGGAGTTGCACCTGAAAGGGCACAGCAGCCCCCCAAAACAGCCAAGCCGAGGTATTTTGCTCTAGCTCCAGCTTCTGGGGAAGCTTTGAGGGCAGCCCGACTTGGAGCACATTGCAGTAATTAAGTCTGACCTGCATCACTGTGGCCAAACTATCCTCAGCTTCCCCAATCCCTGACCATTGGCCCTGCTGGCTGGGGTTGATAGGAGCTGGGGTCAGGCAGCATTTAGGGCACAAGTTTTCCAGTCCTGCCCAGATGTCTGACTTGAAAGCAGCATCTGTGTATCTCTCCTTGCTCCCTTCCAAGGACTCACAAAGTTGGTAATACACATTTTGTGTTTTTTATAGAGTGGATTCATTAAACTAAAGGGGAAGGTAATATTCTGCATCTGCCACCGAGGCTGCCACCTGGTTTTCCTAGCGGGACACAAGTCTTGTAATGCCTGTGCATCAGGCAGAAATTCTATAGATGAAGCTTTGCCCATCATTTTATCTTTATATAGGAAAAACCTGTGAGAGGCAAAGGAATGCTATTCCGCAGGTGAAGGGAAAGGGGTCCTACCAAGGGAAAAATAAAAGCCCTCCCTCTACTCACATCCAGTGCTGCTCGCTTTCCCCCTCAGCAGCAACCCCCTGCCTTTTAATGCTCACAATGGGCAGAAATGCAGCAGGCAACGTGTTCCCCACCATGATATCTCTGTGGTGGGAGATGTGCCACTTACGGATTTCTGCCTGTCATCCTGTTGATAAAGACACAGGGGTCCAGCCAGGAAAACAAGCAAACCAAAACCCCATGGCACACCTTGAACCTGCCTTGCCCCACTGCCCACGCTCTCACCCCTCCTCTGCCTCAAGCCACAGCCCCTTTTATGGCCTTCAGGGGAGCTGGGAGAGGGGTGGGCATCCAGCCATTCTGCGTACATGTTCTCACTTTATCTGCAGGAGATAAATTATGCTACTGGGGTCCTGGCCAACTGGCTGTGGAGAAGCAATTCAGGAAATTGAGCTGGTCAGCAAGCCAACTTCCCACTCCTTGGCTGTTAACCCCTGATATGCTGGGGGCTCCTGCCCCGAGCTCCTTCACACTGCAGGCATCAAACAAGCTTCATGCCCTCCCCACCAATCTTCTCCTTCCAGAGGTGGCTGACAACTGCTGCCAAAAGCAAGAAAGGTGGTGGTGAGGGAACCTCCACGGGTCCCAGCTTGAAGTGGTCCCTCCTGCCCACAAGCTCAAGGATTGGCAAAATGGTCATCCCCACATTTGCAGTTTTTGCTGTTGCTACATGCCAACCAGTCATCTCCGACTTATGGCAACCCTACAGATGAAAGCCCTCCAAAATATCCTGTCCTTGATGTCCCTGCTCAGCTCTTGGAAACTCAAGGCTTTGGCTCCCTTTCTGGAACTGATCTATGAATCTACTATGACAGGTGGGGAAGTCACAGTGCCAGTGGTATTCAGGATATTCAGAATAACACTTCGTGCATTCATAAAAGCTTATGTCGAAGTAAGCGCGTTCGACTTTGGTGCCACTAAATCCCCCTTTTTGGGTGGTTTTTATGGAGAGAACCACAGAACTTGAGGGGTTCCCCCCCCACTTGGAGGGCAGCCGTACTCCACAGCCCTACATAGGGAAGCAGCCGGAGGGGCTCTTCCTTAAGAGAGTGTGACTTTGAAAGGTTGGACCAGTGAAAGGGAGTGGGGCAGCTGGATTCAGAGTATTTCCTGCCTTTCCTCCAAGGAGATCAAGACAGCTCCTGCACCCTCCATTTTATCCCTGGGAGCCCCTGGGAGCCCCATCTCCCTTCGTGGGACCTTCTGAGTCCAAGTGACTGGGAGCCCACTTGTTTTATCAAGGATTAGGGTCAGGGTGATTCAGCATGGCATCCTGCATCCTACTTTATCAAGGGCCTCCAAGTTTGTTTGGCTGGTGTAATATTGATGGACCATTTGTGTACACAATTGGGTTTGAGGTCAAGTCGGGAAAAAATATACAACCCCCCGTCCTGGCCCCCAGCTACTTTGA